CGAGGTTGAAGAGGAGGCGAATCCATCTCCTTTGTTTCCACTTCAATCATTTGCATCATCTGCATTAATAGTTCGTTCACTTTTTCCCCATCACGCAAGCTCGGCAAGACGGATGCGGCCTCGTAATCGCTGTCGAGAATAAAGTAGCGTTCCTTTTGCCAGTTCTCCACCGCGTCGATGTGGAATGCAACTCTGGCAATCGCCTTGGCTGGAACACTAGCCTTATTCATGGAGCTTCGGGATACCATGCGCAGAAATGGCCGAAGCCCGGTCCGAGTCTGGTGTGCGACTCTGACCGACATAGGCGCCCCGGTCCGTAAAGTGCTCTGGCCAGTCATGCCTCCTGGATCCAAGGTGAAGATATCGAGCGATATATTACCGGTCTATAATTAGAATTGGTTAGGAAATCGGGAAATGAATCGGGAAATGACTCCGAATTGCTAACTTACCCAGATCAAGCTGCGTCTCAATGCATATAATGCAACACTGGCCATTAACTTGCTGCTCCCAAGACGAACGTTCTCTTCCTTTGCGCTCAGCGCAGTTCCCGGTTGCCTTCCATTTCTTCCATGGTCGCGATCGAAATAATCCAATTTTCCGGAAGATATCGCCGAACAGCCGATGTTGATCACCTTAGCTCCGCCTTTTGGTGTACCATCTCCAGCCCGGAAAGCCTCGAGCAATCCAATAGTCAATAAAAATGGAGATAAACAATTTGTCTGATACACAGGGTCGTAACCATCTGATGTGAGATCATCAATAACGTAAGATGTAGCAACAGCAGAGTGAATTAGACTGGTCACAGGCGGAATGTCTCTGAAGCGAACACGATTGACGGTGGCTTTGGCGAAAGATGCGACGGATTTTAAATCGGTCAGATCAAGAGCAAGAACCTCGATCGATCTGGGGCCGATCAAGCGTATCTTCCCCATCAGTTCGCGGACATCGTCGGTCCTTATATCCCTTGCCGTCAATAACAGATGGACGAAAGGTTGCTTCTTCGCGATCTCGATAGCGATCTCTGAGCCTAACAACCCATTCCCACCGGTAATAATAACCGTTTCTGTAAGTGGTGTACCCATAATGACTTTTGTTAAGCAAGAATCCCCAGGGGTGTAATGTAGGCAGGGTTCCACAGTAGAAAAAAAATAAGGTGGTCAAAAGCGCACTTGTACGGGGTACTGGGCATTCGATTCCAAATATAGGGATGAGAACGAAGACAATGGAATATTGAGTGACAGAGGGAATTAGCACTAAAAAATGGACTTGTCAAAGCGTAGCCCAGTGAAAAAGGTGTTATATACCTAAATAGTGGGATCTAAAAATTCTCCAACCCCATCCCGATGGATCCAATGCAGTAGAATAGACCAATGAATTATATCAGACATGGGCGGTGCTATGTCTCAGCTCACGGCAGAGGCGTGTATTTTTTTTCCAGAAAATGACGATATTAGATGAATCAGATGCGAACACTGACGTGCTGCCTTAGTGTCAAATAACGAATGGTCAAAACCCCTATGATCTTCCTGCCTGATGCGTGGCATGGCGACTAACTTTTCTTTACGGAGAGGACCCTTGCAGTAAATGCCGTAATATTAGAACAAAAAAAAAAAAAAAAAACAGTGGGGATAGTTAGTTCGCATTGGCCTGGAACTTGCGCAAACCCATCTTGCCGATCAATCATCGATCATGGATCCGGACTAAAGATCTGGGCAATCCATGGATGTCTCGAATAGAGGTATACTAATGCATTGCCCGGATCTTTAGCCGGGAGGCGTCAAGTAAAACACTCCTCTTTCCCCACTGCCAGCAATGCCTGGGCATCTTTCCCCAAGTCAGCCAAAGGTAGCCCTAGGATCACCCCACGTTGTTCGTACCTAGGTATTAGGGGCTGCAAAGTAACCGGAATGCATAATCACTTCATCAGACCTGATCGAAAGCGGCATCACCGTTTGGTGAAACATAAAAATGAAACAAAAAGGAAAAAGAAAAAGAGTCAAAACAATGGGAGTTTCAGACAAACTAAATTCTAAAAGACAAAAGAAATGGCGCCACCCGCGCAGCCAACATAGATTAATCATACAATGTGTGCATTGATATAGTGCGATCATGGTATATGCTGCTGTGATTGTTGCTTTTAATATTGAATTATAACAGCAATATGCTATATTGGTATATGAAATTGGACTGAATTACCTCCTTTGGCTACATTTGACGCCCTTTTAAGCACCTATTAGTCATGACTGAGTGCTTAGGTCAGCTCATCATCAGGCCCCGGGGTTCCTCTCTATCGTGTATAGCAAGTTATAACAAAAATAGAAAGGCTCTTTGTCAGAGCACGTTTATTGAGCTGGCCAGGCGGCTTGTGAATTATATTAGCTCTCGTGAATGAGTTACTAACCCTCAGTCCTGTGCGACACTGACTCTGCCCTGAAACGAGGAACGAGTCAACCTTGGGTTACTACCCTACATAAGCTGCCCGCAAACTTTGGGGGGGGAGCACTCCTCATTGAGCCAGTCTGAAGGTACTCTTTAGGTACAGAGTAGTCTCGGTCCTCTTATTCCACTATAGGTAGAATGGTAAATGATTGCGCACCTCCTGCGACAGCGAGATTACCTTACTGGAATGAGTAGAGGAAAACCAGCAATTCATCGAAGTGCAATGGTTGCAGAAGGCAGAAGGCATACTCAGCTCTTTGTTGAACCTGGACATTTTGGCAGTCAAGGGAGATTTCCAGCACGAGCTCGCGGAGTGGATGTTACGCTTAAATGGTGGTCTTTAACAGACAGTATACATATCCTTGATCAAGCTCGATATGCCTTACTACTGTTGTCCACCCTTTCGGCTGGGCCGGCTGCAGCCAGCTCTACTGGATCTCAGGTAAGAAGATCCGACTTGCCCCAATTACCTGATTGGCTGGAATCCCCCGTTTTATATCGCACGTAGCATGTACAGATATTGATGCATACATGTAGTCAGGATAGTTAACTAGTAAAGGAACAAGTTATTGCAGATGCTCAAAACCAAAATTGAAATAGCACAGGCACACATGAGCTAACCCGGTGCTTCATGCAGAAATGTCGACTAGGATCTTTACATGCGTATCTCTCTGTTCGATGAGAGCTTTGAAACCCCTCTCATCCACATCCTCCATTCGTATCTTACTAGTGATCATTGGGTGAGGCTGAATACTACCTATATCAACGAAGTAAGAGGTCAGCAGAGAACACATACCTAAGAACCGAAGAAAAGAATTGGACAGAAGCCGAGCATACCAGAAGCAATCGCATCAATCACAGTCTCAAAGTCACCATCATCATAAAGAGCAGCTCCTGCGACATGCTTTTCCTGGAAGACAACAGCAAAAGCATCAATAGTAGGCCTGTGTTCCCACAAGGAAACGACGACCGTCGTCCCACGCACCCGAAGACCAGATATCGCAGTATCGAGGCCAGCTTGAGCCCCAGAACATTCGAATGCAACATCTGCACCCACATTCCCTGTTAAAGCACGTATCTGTGTAACCACATCTAAATCAACGGGATTAAAGACCTTGGTGGCGCCCAGGGCCAGGGCAAATTCTCGTCGCCGCTCAGAGACCTCCACAGCAATAATCAGGCTAATACCTTTTGCTTTCAGCACCTGGATAATAGCCAAACCAATTGGTCCAGCCCCGACCACAAGTACCGTGTCATTTGTCTGTAGAGGACTACCGCTTACGGCGTGCCATGCCACGGCAAGAGGCTCCACCAGGGCTGTATCACCACCCTGTCGTCAGACTTGAAACAATTGAGACGGAGAGGTCTGTTCTTACCACCGACATCTAGGGGAATAGAATTGGGTAGCGAAATCGCATGTCTGCTGTCCACGACTATGTGATCCGATAAACCACCCGCCTGACCTTGTAGCCGTCAATACTGAGACATGACTGCAGGCCTTAGTATGGCTTAGTATGGCTTAGTATGGCTTACTGCTGAACCCGATGAATCCCACTTTCTCGCAGCAATTGAACCTGCCCATTGAACAGTTCGAACACGTGGCGTCGAAGAGGTTGGGCTTGACTACAACCCGATCCCCGACCTTGAACCTAGTAACGTCTGAGCCTACCTCTTCAACTGTACCACTGAACTCATGGCCCAGAGTGGTCGGCAGCTTGTCCTCGGTTAATGGATGTGGGGTTACAGGGACGATCGTTGGGCCAGCAAGATACTCATGGATATCTGGGTTATATTAGAAATGGCTAGCCAACGATGAGTTTCGAGCATGTCACTTACCGCTGCCGCATATTCCGACAAAGGCAGGTCGAATCTGTTCATGTCCAGGTTTATTGTTAGAGACTCAGCTCCAGAGGTAACGTTACGAATGTGATAAGTAACAATGCTAAGCTTGCCTTGACCTGGCCATTGCCACAAACCGGCTCTTCGACCTCATCAATGCGGATATCACGTCGTCCATGGAAGCGTACAGCTCTCATTATGGACGGATTTCGGGTTAATGGGTAGATATGTTGGGGTTTTGTGCAACGGACCGAAGAACTGAATCTGCTGATGAGAATAAAGTGAATAATAATTTATTGAGATATGAAACTGTTACACAAATATGAAGAACGATCTTAATTCAATATATGCGAGTGATACCATCGGTTCGGCATACCCTGTTTGCTTGGACCAGGGACAACCCCTCTCCTCAGGTCGATGAAACCCCGCGAAGATAGTCACCTGGTGTCGCTCATCGCAACCAGGAAAGAGACCAATGGCAAAAACCCCTGCCTATCACGGATTTTCTAGGATATCCATGGATGTGCACCTGACGTTGATACTGCGGGGGTGCCCGACGTAGAAGGGTAATTCTCAATGCTAGGCATATCTCCACTCAAAAATACGAATAGTGCTCATAACAGGTCCATATAGGCCAAGTAACAAACAGAACAAGTGGACACGGATCCAAAACCAATCAAATTCGTCACTTCAGAGACCAGCTCTAATTCTCGATTACCAAACTATGTATCCTTGCTCTTGCGAGTGAGAAGACCCTTCAAAGCATCCGTTTCGCCTTCCAGCTTGGAACACCGAAGTCTCCACTCATCTCTTTCCTTCCGAACCTTCTCCAACTCGGCTTCAAGTTCCTTCATCCGATCCACACGTCTTTGCCGGCATCTCCGCGCGGCGAGTGTGTTGAGTTTGCGCTTTTCCACCCGTGATGAATCAACGCGGGTTAGCGTGTCATCACCTTGAGAGTTAGAAGGGCTGGATATAGAAGTGGCGACGGGAGCAGGGAATGGAGAGATAGGGGAAGGATGCGAGTGGCCATCTTTTAAACGTTAGAAACAAGACCTCTTGACTTGGTTGAAGAATATGACCATACCTAGCGAATTGGCGGAGCTAGCAGTAAGAGACGCAGATACATATTGTTGGTATTCGATTGATCCTGAATCCGAAAGAGAGTTCAAAGAAGAGACGGGCCCATACCCAAGGTCCATGAACGGGGCATCGCCACCGTCGTAGCCAGGAGGGTACGGGGTCGAATGATCGAGAGATACGAAATTCCAGTCGGTGTCGGCAAAGGACACGTCGGGTTCTGCCCAGAGTGCCGGCTCGTGCGTGAGGGTATCAAAGGATTGACAGACTGGCACAGCCGAGGAAAGGCCTTCCAACGGCGGCGCCAGCGATGAGAATAAGTCGTTATCGGTGTACGGATGAAGACTCGCCCATGGCGAATATTCAGCAGGCCCTTGAAGGCGTTCCTGCGTGCCTGTGCTGGGCAGGTTGGAACCAGTGAATGGAGATCTGGATCGCTGCCGCTGCGCTCGAACAACTGCAGGCGGGCATCGCTGGATTTTCTTAGACGGGCCTTTGCAGACCCGTGACGCTTTATATCAAGATGATGAAGGGGGCACCCTAAGGTAACTGTGGACAGGGGTGGACTCTGTAGGAGTCGTATCCTGAGGAAGAAATTGAAGGACAAGGCCAGGCCATATAAAAGAATGGGAAGACCAAGGGATGGACTGCGGCACCACATGGGCCCACAGTAAGCATCATGTGATTGGTTATCTATAAACTGATCCCCCACGACTCATTATGACTCATTTTAGCGTCGTTCAATTAGCCAATCACAGGGGACAGCTAATGCAATTTCGGATAAGCACTGGAGTTGCCGTGTGTGCATAGACCTTCCAGGGTTACATTGTCCTGAGGGCCACATTTAGACACATCTAAGCCACTCGGATTGGGCTTACACCTGAAGTAGGGACTTTGTGCCAGGCGGACCTCAAACCATTGGTCGGCTCGCCGCTGCATAACACCAACCAGAATTTCAGTGCAGCCGATCGACGACTCTTCGATGAATTGATGGCGGAGGCCTCTTATTCCGATGCTGTAATAATCTATCATCCACACTCCCGTTGACGGGACTCTGCTTCGGCTCTATGTACTCGTCCTTTACGACTTGATGCATCATGATTTGTCCTTCCATGCTTAGCTCTGTTATATGAATACTTAGAACAGGAATTGACATCAATTCCACTGGATTCTAACATAGTCTAGCTCTTCCCCATTGATCACTGATCTAGTTCTCTGCATAGACTGAAGATGTAATGCCATGATCCACTTCCATTGAAATATCTATCCTATATCTATACAGATTGTCAAGTCCAGAAGATGACTAGAGGAGATAAACGTAATCAATGCAGATTCGCCTTCTAAAGCCCACCTCTAGGACTGAGGTTCAAATTTCCAATCGTCACAGATTTGACATTCTGGTACTCAGCCAGGCCATACTTACTTCCCTCAGTCCCCAAGCCACTTTCTTTGATTCCTCCGAAGGGCGTCTCAACAGCACTGATATAGCCTGTATTGACACCAATCATTCCACACTCAAGTTGACCGGCCACCCGGAACACACGTTCCAGGCTCTTGCTGAAGAAGTATCCCGCCAACCCGAACTCTGTGGCATTCGCTTTCTGAACGACTTCTTTCTCGCTACTGAACGAGAAAATCGCCGCCAGAGGTCCAAAGGTCTCTTCAGAGCTGACTGCCATATTCGTGGTCACATTGGTGAGGATGGTGGGCTCATAGAAGTATCCGTCTTGCAAATTCCTCGGCTGTCGGCCTCCTGCTCGGAGGATCGCCCCCTTCACTATAGCATCCTGGACATGAGACTGAACCTTTTCGACGGCAGCCTTATTGACCAGAGGTCCTTGGGTCGTTCCAACGTCAATACCGCGTCCGAGCTTCAGTGCTTGCACTTTTTTCACCAGTCTGCTGGTAAAATCCTCTAACACGCGTTCATGGACAAATATCCGATTGGCGCACTATTGTATTAAGTGGAAACTCATTAGTAAATGACGCCCCAGATGTCAGAACAGACAAAATTCAAGAGACTCACCACACAAGTCTGACCAGAGGAGCGGAACTTGCACACCAGAGCTCCATCAACAGCCTTGTCCAAATCGGCATCCTCGAAAACAATGAACGGTGCATTCCCCCCAAGCTCCATGCTAACCTTCTTCAAAGTCCCAGCCGCCAGCTCAGTCAACATCTTCCCAACATTCGTCGACCCAGTAAAGCTGATTTTCCGCACATCCGGATGAGTAGCAAGTTCCAAAGATGCACTTCGATCTTTCGTCGGAACAACCTGGATACAAGATGGGGGTACACCCGCTTGAACGGCCAATCTTGCCAGAGCAAGAGAAGTAAACGGGGTTTCACTGGGAGGCTTGATTACCACTGCGCATCCTGCTGCCAGGGCAGGTGCAACCTTGCGCGTGATCATGGCGGCCGGGAAATTCCACGGAGTGATGATCCCACATACACCAACGGGTTCCTTTAGCGTGAAAACTGTTCGATCATGTTTGGCGGAAGGGATGACGTCTCCGTATGAGCGGACGGCCTCCTCGGCGAACCAGAGGATGAAGGAGGAGGCATAGGATATTTCGCCTTTTGCTTCTTCCAAGGTCTTGCCATTTTCAAGGGAGAGAATCAGGGCAACTACGGATAATTGTCAATTTACTGCACGCTAGAAGTGAAGAATTTGACGTACGATCATTGAGGTTCTCCTGTAGTAAATGATACCACGCTCGAAGGATATCCGCCCTTTCTGCTGCGGTAGTCGTTTCATAATACACTCGGTAGCCGTTCGTGGCACTTTTGATAGCCTCGGTAAAGTCTTCACGAGAGAAATCGGAGCAGGAGTATAGAACTGTGCCAGTGGAGGGTTCATAGACGGGGAAGTTCTTCCCGTCTTTGGCAGTTCGCCAGGTTCCTGCAATCAATCCCCGGGACTCGAGTAGGGAGGGATTTTCCAGGGTGACAGGAAATCTATCATTGCTCCCCATATTGTTGGAATGGCGCTACCTTGTTGGTTTAGTTTGTGAGGCTTTTAAGATTGAGTGAGGCTCAAAAATGAATTTCTGTGCTTGAGGAGGCAGAGCAACGGCGCCTGCATATCGAACATATATAACATCTGATCGCGTAAGGCTATACAAGTGGTGAGATCAATTCAATGAACAGCCTCTCTTGGTTGTCTATGGCTAGGTCATCTTGCTACTAACCAGCACATCTGACAGTGTCTAGATGAAACCCAGGGTATATTGCCCGATTAGGCAATGTCGGCGAGAGATAACGGGGAGTTCATGTCTCGTCGCCATTTTAGGTATTTACCATTGGCTGCTGAATCTCTATACTGTACTCTCGTCCAATCCGACTCGCTAACTGATCGGCCCAGCGAAGAAAATGCCGCACCGAGTCGAATCGAATTCCGATACAAGAATACAAGAGTTGCTCGCTTGAGAGTCTGTCCAAATGCAGTATTCGAACCGAAGACATTTGATGCGCAGAACCCCGCGTTTGAGTTCTCCACTGGCGCGGGGACTTGGTTTAGCGGAGGCTGCCTTGAATTATTGGATCGTACCTAGGTAGTTATATGTACCATATTTCCTCTGCCGGGTGGGGCTTTCCTATCTTGGCTGCCGCCGCTTTTATGAGGGCGCTCAGAGTAAAGCTCACTGAGTAAATCTCAGTCCGGGCTCAAACTCAGTGAGCTGCTCGATATAAATACGCGACTGAAATGTGAGGCCCACTGAGCGCTCACTGCCCAGGTGCCCAGGTGAGTGTGTTTGATTACTCAGAGATTTATCAGAGACATCTATTGTGCACCCAGTCATGCTCCGTCCATATCCAAAAGGGCGCCAGCCCCACAGTACTGTTTATTTGTGAATCACATTCTGATGGACTGATCAGCTTCAGTTTCTTGAGGTGTTCTATGCTCCTCTTCCACCCTCAGCCCCGACCCGCCCTTTTTGGGCGATGGGGCGGAAATTATGCCAAAATTAAAGACGCAGGTTTGACCTGTGCTTTAAGGACGCAACAAGAAGATCCCTCTATCTACGGCTGCCTTTGCCTAGAATTGTAGGTATAAATTGAAGCTATGTTACCTCCCCCTCAAACAGAGAAATAGGGATGGCCTGGTCCTATATATAGTGAAAAAGGAAGAGCACAATGGCAATGTTGACTCTTACGCTTCACCCATGTATAGATCCACCCAAGATTTGAAAGTCCCGAGGCTAAGAAGGGAGATGGCTGAAGTATGCCGTAGCTTGTCTCTGGTTTATTCAGAACTCATGGCCACTCACTCTCCGAAATGACCAGCAACGTGGTGCGCCACAGCAGCTTCATCGCCCTCGAAGTCAGCGCACACAGGACACTTGAGAGAGCCCGGTACCTGAGCAGCACCACCTGTATCATCAGCCCTCTCTCCCAGCCGCTCATCGCGTCCAGCCTGCGTCTTCTTCCCCTTCTTCCCCTTCGCAGGGCGTATGTACATATCCAGCCCAAGGGGCTCAGCCGAAGGCTCCTCAGGCCCATCAAGACGCATATCACGCGAGGTAAAACGATTGCGTCTCCCGCTCACATCCCCTCCCTCTGCTCTTACTTGAATCCCAACGCTTTCTTGTGCGCTCTTTCGGTCATCTTCCGACTCACCGCCCCGGAGGCTCTGGACTCTTCCGATGCGCCCGTCGGTCAGCCGCACTTTGACGCCTCGTGGGTGATCGCCACGCGTGAGTAGTTCGCTCACTGTCCCTGATACTGTCCGTCCTGTGGGCTGGTCGGCTTTGAGGATGATGTTGACGGCCGTGCCTGGAGTGATTGCTTTTGAGGGGGGCACGCGTGGGTGGGAGGGGTGCGACCCCCCGCGTCCGCCGCGTCTTTTTTGATTATTCATTGGGAATGTCGTGTACAGAAGGACTCCGTATTGGGATGTAGATGCAGGTCTTGGCTGGCGTTGAGGCAGAATTTTCCAACGCGGTGTGGGGTGTCGGGTAGATAAACTGGGAACATCCGACTGGGATGTATCTGCGTGTCACGGATTCTAGCAAGTGAGGACTCTCGTTCACTTCACTTGAAAGAATGTAAACTTGTGCTGTTGATTTGATTTTCCGATTTATCTTGCTCTCAAGGTTCGAAAGGGACAGGGAAGTCATTGATATTGACAGAGAGCAGGCGACATCGATTGGTCTGCGCTGAGCCTGGCAGGTATCCCCCGTTGGCAGTAGATAAATCTAGCAATTACACTCTTTCAGGGATCAGACTCTCCTTGTCGTGGCCTCCCAGGTAACATACAGTATCCACTGCCCTCAGGGCCATAGTCCCATCGTCCCATGGAGATAACTACCCCCATTGTCCACGGGTGTCCTATAGATGGGTCTCATATGAGTTTGATACCGCAGTATTCAAGAGAAGTCATAAGGCTCGGGCCAGTGTTGCCCTTACAGCACTCATTTCCAGGTATCCATGAACTGTCCAATTGAACTAAACAGACAAGACTAGCTGCTGGGGTCCAATTGATCTTTCTCACTTGTATACCCTACCCTAGGCATTTTAATTGGAGAATCAAGGAACGGGTTTTGTCCGTCCCCGTACAAGAATTCATCAACCCCCTTTCCAATCCATCTCGCACGCCCTGGAAGAGAGATATCTTGATTGCAGCCGACAGTCACATTTCGCCATCGATTGACCAGAGACGACTTTCCCGGATTTCCTCGCGCATCTTCGCAAGGAAAGAAAGCCAGTGATTTCCGTTGTCTATGAATGTCAAGAAACTTAATTTCATAGATCGCACAGTTGCAGGTAGCTCTGAAAGGAACGATATCACGTCGGATTCGCTGACTATCAATCGTGGTAGCTCAAAGTGTTGGAGTTTTGGCCAGTTCTCAACGGGGAATATGTCCTTTAGGGGCACAGGCGTGACTTTGTGCAGATTCTTCGTTTTCGGCATCGATTCCTGTGGTGGCGAGGCTGAACTCTTCCAGATCGCCTACTTCGCATAATATACCATGGAGATTTTCATGGGGGAATTATTGCCATGTTCCGGCGAGAGTGAAAGAAAGATCGAGGTGACGGAAGCCCGGTTTTTTGAGCAGCGTGGCCAAGTGATTATATTCCTCACAAGTGTCATCAAGAATCGAGCAGTTAATTCGCGTTCGAAGTAGACGGGAATCCACTCTGAACTCGACGACATCATTCTTTTGTTCAGCGAGCGCACGTGCTACGATCCGAAATCTGTGGAACTTTTCCTTCTGCACTTCGTTGATCCGTTTCCAAGGAAGCGAATATACGTCCTCCGTTTGATCATGACTAGGAGGTGGCCATCCGCGGGGTGTGGGATAATTGAATCCTCCCAGGAATGATCGAATCATGGGAGTTTGACAAAGTGGGTTGAAAAGAAAGCCATGGGCTGCAGGTGTGACTGTCACTTTTATGAGTACAGGGAATCGTTTCAATCCACGAATGAATGCTTCTTTGTCGGATTTCCCAGCTAGGACATCGCCTTGCTGCCGGATCAAAATGCGGTAAAACTCCCAGCACTCACTCAGCGGAGGCCCTATCGAGCCCAGCTTTCTCATGGTCTTTTGCCTTCTGATTGTATAGAGTCCGCTTGAGGTCTGTTTTCTGAAAGGTTGCAGAGTGAGAAGGCATTATCAAATGGTTTCGCGCTTTGTAGGAAAAACTCACTATAATAGTCTCCAACTAGACTAATTTGCGACATTTCCTCCCTCTCTCTTTGATAGGCGATGATCTACGTTTGAAGAGTGTTTACTCCTCCTCTTGGCGTCCTTCAGGTAAAATTCCCCGACTGAAAAATCACGGTCAACATCTCCGCGTCTTGGCAATACTTCCATAAGCTGTGAATCTCTGTTCGTATTCTTGGTTAAGGTAAAGGATATACCGCTTTGAACAAGGATGTGGTCATATTGGCTATATTGGGTTCCCGTGGTTCATGGCGCATTGCTGGCACTGCAAAGACAAGGACAAACCGCTCAATCATCACCAGAATCAGACAATGTGCTGGTAAAACATAAGATATCTGGATCAGCGACAGATAGCATGCCCTCCACGAATGAACACACTCCCGACTCTAGATTCGATCATCTAATGACCCACCCGATATGTACTCTAATATAGATCCAGTAAGTGACGCTTGAGTAATCGCCTAGGCCACCCACTCTATCCTTTCACTAGTGGCTTCCCCCTTGTGATTGTGTATAATCTGACCAGCAAGGATGGTGTCCCGAACAGAATCAACGGCGAACAAGAGATCAATCTCCTCGAGCGTCTTACCATTTGTCTGCGAACAATGTAAGCCAGGTGCTTAGAATCTGATCGCCGCGAGTTGATCAACATACCTCAGGGCACATAAAGTATATAAAGACTACAGCCGTTGCGCAGGACAGAAGCTGCCAGATATAGATTTTCCAGCCAACGTTCGTGATTGCAGTTCCACCTCCGAATACGGTGATGAAGGAGAAAGTCCATTCTCCAAATGCGCCGGCAGCGGCGCCAACATGTCTGTACTTCAAAGGAGCGATCTAAACAAACAGTATGTGGTCAGCTCCTGTCAATAGGTGAAGCAATGAAGATGAGATTGATGAGAACAAACCTCAGCAGTGTAAAGCCACGTGATGCCAATCCAACTATATCCAAACACAAACATGAACGAGATCACAGCTGCGACTGCTGTCCACTGGGTGGCGAGGGTGCGATTCTCCAATCCAATCATGACGACAAATATGAGCATCAAGATGGTACAAGCTATCGCCGACCATAAGAGAATAGATCTGCGCCCCAACCGCTCGATAGTGCTTGGCAGGAGATATGTTCCACAGGCGTAGATAGTCATCATAACTGCAGCGAGCAGTTGCGAGAGGAAGGGCGATAAGCCAACTTGGGCAAATATTGTAGGACTGTAGTAGACCATCATGTTGATTCCTAGAATAGATTAGTATCATCAGTAAGAAATGAGTCTGCAAAATTTGCTGACACTTGATCTTACCCATCATCTGCTTGATTGATAATATCAGAAACGCGATACGAATACGTCGCCCAATTCGAAGATCGGTTGTGTCCCACAGGAGTAGACTCATGTTGAACTTGGACTTTTCACTTTCTTCAAGTCTGATCGATGCTTGGATTTCTTCTTTCTGCGCCTGTACTCGATCGTTATCCAGCGGTAGCCCATGTAGACGGGCAAGAACATTATCGCCCTCTTCTATTCGGTTTGTCGCGTAATACCATCGGGGTGTATCTGGGAGCAGGAGCATTCCATAGACCGATATTATAGCGAAAACTGCCTGGAGACCAATAGGAATTCTCTGGACCTAAGTATTAGCATAATACCGTCAACGGTGATGTGTGATTTACCCAGGAAATTTGATTGTCCATGCGGGTGAAGCCAAAGTCAACCCAATACGCGAGCGCAATGCCTGAGATAAGGACGGCGCATTGAATGGCGACTTCTGGTCCACGCGCTTTTGAATCTATACTCATCTCGACCCGCAAGCCAAAGATATCAGTACAGGCCAAGGCTTCTTTTAAACCAAAGTGAGCTTACCATATAAGTCGGCACGGTGCATGAGATATACTGAAGCTCGGGTCAGATTCTCCTAGCGTCATGCGAAAGATGAGACTGAAACGTACCCCCAGACCGAATCCCTGTGCTCAGTTTAGTACTTTCACTTGCAAGATATATAACCGAGACGCACACAAACCACACGCCCTACAATCATCTGAGGTACAGACCAAGAAGATGCTTGGAGAACTGCACCGATAATGGCACAAAAGTTACCAATGACAATGCAATATCGGCGTCCAAGCACCATTCCAAACATCATCACAGTCAGTGAGCCCACCGCTGCTGCCAGGGTGTAGGAGGAAGCAATCATAGGTATGATATACGACCCCTTGGGGTACTAAGAAGGGATCTGTCAAGATGCTGCTGGCGAACTTCAGTAAAAGTAGACAAACCTGTAGTGCTTTCAAGTATGCATCCGTCTCTTGGAGTCCACCGAGAACGCCGGAGTCGAATCCATACATACAGAACGCCTGATAGTCTTGTCAACTTGCATGTCTTGTTCGAAGCAGGACATCGTCCACGAGTGATGCTTACAAGAGAAGAGGATATACTCATCATGCGGTATAGCGTTCGGCCTTTGGCCTCTTTGAAAATAGACATGATGTCCGGTTTGCTTGGAAGAGTTCTATCTGTATAGTAGATGAGTTTTGCCGTCTCTCATATATAGGTGTTGTCTTTTGTTCAACACGAAGCAGTCGCGCTGCTTTTATAGTCCACTTAATATCCTAAATCACTGTATATTCAATGCTCAGAAGCTAGCATCCTTTCACTTGTTTCCCCCGCATTCTTCGAACTCAAATGCGCATGTCACAGAGAGTATATGGAATCCCCACGGGGAAATTCTGATGCATGATATCTTGACTTCTCGTATGTTCTTGGCTCTATTGCCCTGTAGATATGGTGATTAAGGTTTAGACTCGGCGTCCATCCTTGGACCTAGGCCGCACCGAACTAGCTTTGTGGGTCTAGGTCACTAACTACATTGAGACATCGACACGATACCCTCAAAGAGGTAATATCGGCCTCTCCGAGACCCTGAAAGGTCCACACAGGCCATTACTAATCATTTACATGACGTTTTCCCTTATTAATTTGACGATTGGACCTTCCTCGGAAGTTTCAGAGAAACTGAAAGACGACTACAAAATTTCTATCCTCTTTGATTTCAAAGCAGACGAGTAAGATAAAATTAGTGCTACTTGACTTGTAGCCAGAATGATCTATCAGAACTTCGATTCACCAAGGACTCTCTGAATAGTCGTGAAAGCAGCTCTTTGATTGTCAAGAAACCACTCAATTATCGATCTAAATACTCTCTCATTCGCAATGTCTCAAACAAAGATCCTGATCCTCGGAGCTACCGGTTATATGTGGGTATAACACCATTGGCATCGGACTTTCATTGTGCTAACAATATGACAGCGGTGGAAGCATCCTCACGGACTTGCAGAACTCGAAGAATGCATCCCAGTATTCTTTCTCTGCTCTTGTCCGCAACCAAGAGCATGCCTCAAAGCTCAAGGCCAGAGGCGTTGAACCTATCTTCTTCAAGAGCTTAGATGATTTGGACATCGTCCAGAAGGCCGCCAGCGAACATGATGTCGTCATCAATGCGGCGTCAGCTAGTAATGACAGGGCTGCTGCCGCCATTGTCCAAGGTCTAGCAGAGCGAAAGGAGCGTACTGGACGTGCGGTGAACTACATCCACACGTCCGGAACATCCATTCTCGGCGATCAACACATTTCTGGAAAGTTCGTTGACCGTGGCATCTACTCTGATGCAACTGATGATATCTATGCTTATGAGAAGGGCCGCGGTCCCTACGGCCAACGTATCACTGATATCGTTGTGATCGAAACCGGAGAGAAGCTTAACGTCCCCACTTACATTGTTGTGCCGCCGACCATCTACGGCGAAGGCAGTGGCCCTGTTGCGACAATCTCCCAACAGGTTCCCAATCTTGCACGTGAGGCTATCAAGAGAAAACAGGCAATTGTGATTGGAAAGGGAGATGGAATTTGGAATCATGTCCACATTCTTGATCTCGCTCCCTTGTACACTCTGCTTCTCGAAGGAATTTTGGCTGGTCGCCAGGATATTCCTTCCGGACGCAAGGGCATCTTCTTTGCTGAGACAGGCGAGCACACCTGGCTGGATGTGTCTCGTGGCATTGCCGAGGCCTTGTACGCTCGGGGCTTGTTGCCCACGAACGAGGTCAAGGAAGTTTCACTCGCCGAGGCCGCCCACATTGCTGGAGGCAAGGAAGATCTTCTGGAGGTCACATTGGCTAGCAAGTAAGTATCTCGTCTTGGAGTCTACAAGTCAGCCAAATGGTTACTAACGTCATTCAAGTTCGCGATCCCGCGCCGATTTGAGCAGAAAGCTGGGATGGAAGCCGACCAGAGATGATGCTGATTTCCACAAGCACTACGATGAGGTGATTGCTGCCGTTGCTCAGGAGTTTCAGTAGATCTTTCTCTATGAAGTGCCTCTATGAAGTGACGAAGTAGCATGGTGGCCATATTCAATATTGGTCTTTTCGGTGTCTTCATTATCTCCACGGCATGTCACCAATAACTCCATATAGTTCAAGAGTAACAACAATGGAAGAGCCTCAATTTCTAAGCACAGCCAGCCCTATGTAATAACCAGGTACCGTGAATGATATGAAAAAAGACTCTCTTGTGTTCACTGAAATAACCCTCTTGTAAAGTCACATAGTTAACCCTTCTTCATTACAACCTAGCTCCCGGGTACAGTGGCAATTGGATGCTAGTTTTGTTTCAATGTTTACAAACTCACCATTATCTTTGCAGACATTCAGTAAAAGACCATTTGATTTCACAAGAGCTACGAGATAGACAGTTATTGAAACACGGCTTGAACAAAAATATTTTCCCAGCTACATACTAGTATATGTTGTAGGGCCAGCTCAAATCCCCGTCTACCCCATCGCATTCCTCATTCGTGGCTAAGAAGGCGACACAAATCACTATTAAATGTACCAAAAGCCCTGCCAATAAGAGATCAATCGGGAATTTGGTAAAGATCATACAACTGACCTGAAGATCGCCAAGCAACTCGACGGAAGTCTAAATCCATTTGCAATTTCGCCACCTCGACTCGATGCCTGTATTCGGACAGGAATGAAGTAGTTCGTTTCAGTTCGTGTCGTTTAAGGTAGGTGGGCTCGGTCCATCGTGGTCGCTGCCCAGAAGACGCAAGTTGTAAGCTGTGAGACCGAGAGTCTCCCCCAAACTAGGGAATTGACGCGATGTGGATTTGCGACAACATCACCTGGAGCGGACCTGGACTTTGTGGGGAACTGGGGAAGGTAGTCGACTATTGGATCACTAGTCGCAAACTAGATTGAATTATCAGCTTCACCTAATAGGTCGATGTTGGTTGAGGTATGTGCCATGGGGACTAGATAGTGAGCGGTACTTAAGGTCATACTGTTGCAGTGAGCTCGAATTCCAAACTCGTCAAACGTTTTTCGAGATCATACCGAAGTGACCATATCCTTCGATGCAGCAAAATGTTGGACGCAGAAGTAATCATTGTCGGCGCTGGCCCTTCTAGCATTGCGCTGTCGCATACTTTGAAGCACAAGTTGGGATTAAATGACTTCACCGTAAGAGCCTCACTCCAGATCGAGGGGAATAATAGACCCATACCTAACTTTGGTCAGATATACGAGAAGATGGATGGACCGGGTGGTGTATGGAGGTCAAACACATATCCTGGAGTGTGAGTAGCCTTCCACGGGGGCACAATTCAGGTTCATTGACCATTATTCAGAGGCTGTGACGTGCCCACAATCTTGTACTCTTTCTCTTTCAATCTGAATCCCAACTGGTCTAAGGAGCTATGTGGAGGCTCGGAGATCTTACAATGTGAGTTGCAATGAGGTTCCTGCGCTGGGAAAAATGCGATTTGAAACAATATTCTGACCCAACGCGAATTAGACATGGAGTCCACCGTGGACAAATTCGACTTGCGCAAGCACATGCACTTCCGCATTGAATGTATTTCTGCAAATTGGAACGAAATGGGGTTCTGGGAAGTCCACCTCCGAGATCTTTTAACCAATCTCGAGTACACCAGAACCGCCAAGGTCTTCATCTCCGCCGTGGGAGGTATTTCCAAACCTCGGGACACTAAGTTCCCAGGAATGGAAACCTTCCAGGGTGAGATCTTCCATACTGCCCGCTGGAATCACAGCTATGACTATCGAGGCAAGCGGATGGCCATCATAGGCAACGGATGCAGTGCAGTGCAAGTGGTGCCTGAGGTCGCCAACGACGTTGCCTTTGTCAAACAGTATGCCCGAAGCACGCAGTGGTATCATGAGCGTCCGAATCGGAGTTTCACGGCGTTGGAAAAATGGTGCTTCCGCCATATTCCTCTTTTGGAGCGTTTTATCAGACTTCGCATCTTCCTCGCCAGCGATCGGATGGTCGCAGCCTATGGGTCCACAGCGGAAGCTGAAAATCTGCGAGCCAAAGCAGAAGTCCATGCACGAGACTACATATACTCTACGGCGCCTGCGAAATACCATCATTTCCTTGTTCCGGACTTTCCGCTAGGTATGTTTGCATGCTTAATATCTTCAAGACATCTGTTGACTAGAGATAGGGTGCAAGCGTCGAATCTTTGATCCTGATTATTTGGAGACTCTTCACAACCCTAAGGTTGAGCTAGCGCCCCATGGAATTGAGTCAATCGACCAGACAGGCATTACTAGCACTGATGGTGTGAGAACCGAGTTTGACGTCATTGTTCTCGCAACAGGCTTTGAGGTCCAACAATTCCTAGTGCCAATGGAAGTCTACGGACGAAATGGGCGCAGTCTCTTCCAGCAATGGAAGGAGAATCGAGGAGCCCAAGCTTATATGGGCACTTATGTACATGGATTTCCAAATTTTGCAACCTTGTGAGTAGTTCATTGCGCAGGTGGAAACATTCGCTCTAATCATCAATCAGATTTGGACCGAATACCTTCCCAGCCCACAACTCCGTCCTCTTTGCAGCTGAGGTACAGGTCGCCTATATCGCCAGAACGTTGATTGCTCCTTTGATTGATCGTCGCATATCAACGTTGGAGGTGAAACAGACTGTCGAGAACCAGTGGGTGAATGGTATCCATGCCCAGTTGCGAGGTGGAGTCTTCGAGGCAGGATGTTCAAACTGGTATATTAACAGCAACGGTCGGAACTCTGCTTCGTGGCCCGGATATGCATCGACATTTTGGAAGCAGTCACTGCAGCCGCAGTGGAATGTCTTTATCAAGACACCTCATTCGCGACGGTGGGTTCTGCATCGGCTCAAACGCTTGGTTGTGACGACCAGCCCCCAAGTCTACGCCTTGTTGGGGCTCATTCTGTTGCTGAATTCGCAGAACACCATTATGGCGAATACAGCGAGCAACGTCCTTGGTGCTGCTAGATCATTTGTGAATGCCTTCTTGGGATATTGATCATTTTGTTAGATTATTGGTCAGATAAATGTGTGTTTTCCTTGTTTAATCCATCTGTCGATGATTTCTATTTGCCTTATAGACATGATATCATTATCACTCCTGAGTAGAATGGCTTGGCTTCTGTATTTTCTTTCTTTCTAAGCGCTAAATGTACAAGTGAATCAAGTGAAATTATCGAATTATGTTGAAGTTAGATAGTTCAACATCCTCAGAGGTTGCTTACCTAGGTAAGCCTTACCCATCTGGCATGTCGTAGATGACCACTCACCTATCAACAAAGGATTTACAGCTCTATGAGATCTCAAGTAGAGGTTCCATAACTCACAGTACCCCTATTCCCCTGGAAGGCATACCGCATTGGCATAAACGAGCGAATGTCTCCATCCACTACAGATGTTTGGTCCTCGTGGTACATGTAAAAGACGATATCACAATTGAAATAACAAGGCCCTCTTTATCACTAGTTATACTTATATTCTGATATGAGGGTTGTGAATCGCAATGCTCATTCTGTATAGACTGTATCTGAATCTAATCTGAATCTAATCTACATCAACTCCAAGACTGATTCCAAATGTCCCCGACCTAGTGAATTCAAAGCAGCCGGTATGATTCCCTTCCCCAGTAACACAATGCTCAAGCTCTCTCCTCAAGCTCAATCGCGACTTTGCCATCTTGATTCTCGCTATCGTCGCTCGCATGGGTTGTCTGAGTATGCAGCTGGATAGGGTCTTTCACAAACAAATTGTCAATCTCCTCCATGGTCAGGCGTGCAGTTTCCGGATAGAAGAGGTACAGCAATGGAGCCCAAGTGAAGTTCAACACCGCGAATATGATGTATGTGCGCCAGGAGATATTTGTAATCGCCGACGGAACAAACTCCACAATAGCAAAATTACATGTCCAGTTCACGGCGGATGCTATCGCACAGCCACGGGCGCGATTCCTGAGGGGAAGTAGTTCAGGAGCGTAACTCCAAGGGACACCCAAGTAGCAGGCTCCAAATGCACTGAAAGTTTTGTCAGATCGGGTTGCGTGAAATGAATTCTTAGGGACTCACGCCATGTAGAGGAAGAAGAAAACGACTGACGCCTTGCTGGCATTTGTATTATTGAGAGATAGAAGAATAGCCACCAAAGTCATGCTCAGACTTTGGACAAGACTTGTGATGATGAAGGGCTTTCGTCTGCCCCATCTATCGATGAAGAAGAATGCGTAGGCGGAGAAGACGACGAAGACTACACCAACTAAGCCCGAAATCAGAAGAGCCATGTTTGCCGCAAGTCTCACGGAGTTTTCCAAGAGATATGGTATGTAATACACCAAGGCATTAATCCCGGACATCTGTTGAAAGACCATGATTCCGCATGCTAGGATAAGGCGTCTACAGATAGAATGGTCAGCAAGATGAAGACAGAGAAGAAGAGCTTTCAGAGATGAACACACTTCCTGTTACCAGTGACCTTGTTTTCCCACAATTCAGTCCACTTCAATGGTCCCAGTGCTTGCTCTGCATTCAAAGCAAGCTGAATATCCTGACACTTAGCTACAACAGCGGGGGTCTCGGGAGTTGAAGTTTTTGATTCCAAGCAAGCAAGAACATCCATTGCTTCATCGACTCGTCCTTGGGCGATCAGCCACCGAGGTGACTCTGGGAGAAAGATTGCCTATGTCACACAGAGTTAGGGGCTACGCGACCCGATATATAATAGCACATCGGCTGAACGACTGAGATCTCACCATGAATAATGTGGCACCCGCGAAAAGTAGTTGGATGGCAATCGGTAAGCGCCACTGTATAGAGCCACTGGTGTATGCCATCTACAAACAGTCAGTACAGCTGTCCTGCGGCGGTATCTCGGTCGATGAGCGGACTTACCCCATAATCAAACCAATAACTCAAGCAAATGCCAAGCTGCAACAGTGAAGAAGATCGAGAGTTAATGAACATTCTAGATTCAGTAAAAATGAGAGGCAATTGTGTCTTACCCCGATCATAGAACCTGAGATGGCATTCAAGCGGCCTCTGGCGTAGGGTTAGTCGGACAAAGCAACCAAGAGGATTCAACATCCGGTTCTTACCTGTTATGAGAACCAACAATTTCAGAGTTCCAAGCTAGATACTTCTTAGTCTCCCCCTCTCCCAGTAGTAGAAAGTGTATAGTTCAACTTACTCGGGACGGTCGCTGTGGAGATGCCGTTTCCAACACCTGCGATGATGCGACCTGCTATCATTTGTCCGCCTGAACTGTTTAGTTGCAAAGGATACTATGTCAGTCGCTCGAATCTTCCTCATTCACCGCCCGACGAATCAACTTACAAAGTACAGGTTTGCAATATGGCTCCCACTATAACAATACTCAGACCAATCATGGTGGACCATCGTCGTCCAAGTTTCTCGCCATAGAACATCGTCATTAGACTGCCACCTAAGCAACCCAGATCATACTAGAGTAGACAGTTAGGTATGGAGCGGAATTTATCGTGTCATTAGATAATGCATCTGCCTACCACAGCAGTGATGGTTCCTAGCTCGCTCGCACTAGGATTTCCCAGGGTCGAAAGAAACAATTTCCCTGAAAGTAAACCACCAAGCACTCCTGGATAGCGGCCATTAGTTGAGATGTCCACTTTCTAGCGAGTAATATTCAATTTCTTGCCTTGGTCCCACCCAATGAGGAGAAATGCAATTGATGAGGCTGAAGACATTGCTCCAACGAGCATGCTTCCACGAGCCCCGAAAAAATACCCCATGCTGGCGACGATTACTGAAGTCTGTAGTGATCAGAAACAATAAATTCTTATCCCTCCTCTTGGATATCAATCCATCCTTCGGTTCTTATACTCATCGACATACTTGTCGGATGTAAATTCATAGCTTAACTTACCCCGGATTGTGGAGTCGCTATGGGATCTGGGGCAAAGTCCGAAGGAAGAAAGTATGTGAATTCTTCGACTGTGTTCGGTAAGTCAAGGCCACTACTGTCCACGGTCAATTCGATCAGCCGAAACCTTGCGAGGTTTGTTCTGTGGAAAATGACTACTTACAGGGGACATCGTTTCGAGGTGCCGAATATGGAAAAGGCGCCAAGAATACACGGGTCATTCCGCTGGTGCTAATTTCACGTAGCGCTGACTGGGAACACACTTTCCACAGAAGACCAGCTAGATTAAGCGCCGAAGTCTTGATTTCCAAGCAAAAGGGACTAGGAAAACTCGGCTGATACCTCTCAGGAAAAATGGTTCTATTATGAGGGTAGTTCACGAGCATACAAGTCCTGATCCATAATGATCATCGCAATATCCTCCGCTACCAAACCCGAGAAATAACTGCCCTTTTTCTCCCGTCGTCAGCCGATGATGTCCCACTCCTCCTTCAATACTTGAGATATCCGTGCTGTGGGCCATTGATCTTCTATCTCGGTTTGCTTTAGCATATCAAGAATAGCCAGCTGCTCCATGGGATTTGTTATATAACGGCAACAGAGGAACATTGCATAGCAAGCCGTTCGACGTGTCTCGCTTGTGGGATTCGATAAACAGATTCCACATATTATATGAGCGTGATGGGCTACTTGGACCTGTGTTGGATGGGAGCAGATTGAGTAAGTGCATTTAGAATTGAGTATGGGAGCAATAATTTCAAGTACACATACCTCAAGTACCCTTTGTTGACGTCGGGCATTGATACCCATTGCGTGGTTTGGGTCGTAAATAAGGAGAAGAGCATGGCCCATGTGGTAGTAGATAATCGCCGTAACTGCAGAGCGGCCATATTAACGAATTGCCGAATTTTTACAACATGAGTGGATTACTCACCATGGCATTGTTCGAAAAGCCAAAAGTCAGGGAAGCACCTCCCAGCAGCCATGTTCCTGTCATTATAGTAATACGGCTCAAAAGACGCAGGCCGGGAGAATGCCCAATTATCCAATCTTTCACGTAGTGATGTCCATCTCTCTGCTGGATCATCCCACAGCGTGGAAAAACAAAAGCCAATTATATCGGCGACAATGAGCATAATGGCTTGGCTCCATTCGCAATCATTGGTTGGTTCCTCATTTGCCCATGTCGTGCAGATTGATAGATCTGTTTTGATAGGTCGTTGGTCCAAAATCGCCATGTAGATGTCTTGACGAAGATAGACCCAGAACGCAGCCTTCCAGAGGCGGCCGCTGGTAGCCGCTGGTGCCGAAGCTAGAGCGGAGGCTCCTAGTAAGTGACACTCTTCATCGTTGAATGATCCTGCAAAGACTCAGTGTCAGCTGTCCGAGGACGAAAGTGAATTGATGGTGTTGGCAAAATCACAGACCATTCATTTGCTCGTAAACGCGCAGAATTACAGTGGTGGCCAGGAGTATCTCATCAATTGGCCCATCTGCCTGGTTTAGTATGCCAAGAATCAGTTTCACGCATTCGTCGTGGTACTGCTCTGCAACCACAATCGAAGAACCGGAAAGTCTGCTCTGGTGAAGTGATGCGACTGCCAGAATCGCGTTCAGTAGAACCGGAGTTCTCGGTGCACGCTGGTGTACCTCCAGCGCAAAGTGACGATTCGCATCTTGTGAGTCGAGCTATTCCTATCAAACCGTTATCACTCGGTGTGCGAGAGTAAACCTTAGACCGGGGATACATACGCCCGGGACCCAATGCTCGTTGAAGAATTTGAGAAGCGCTGCTTCTTCACGGCACCTCAGACCGGTATCTTCCCGAGAACGCGCATATAATTCTGAAACACCTGTCACTGTCATCGTCCCCGCGATACTGACGCTGTTGTTGCTCTGTGGCGAGGGCCCATGGTAGCTTGTCGAGTCTGCAACACTACGGATGTGCAAGGGTTCACAGGTGACCGCAGAGAGGGTGGGATCTCGAATGCCATTATCTGACATCTCTGGAGATAGCTCTGCTTGAAGTGGTGGCTGGCTGGCTGAGTCTAATTGTTCTTCATCGTGAGGTATGTAGGGATAGACATCTTGTTCTGACACACCGGGAGAGGAAGCTGTTTCTAAATTGTCCCCAGGGCTATGAGCAGTCGTATCGCGATCATCAGTAATCAACATAGAATGCCTGACTGGCCGAGTCTTCTTCTGGGAGGCTGCTGGGGGTTTGGCCCCTGCAGCGGTTGTGAAGACATATCGAAAGTTGGCGGCCGGGTCGGCCTGGACACATTCTCGCTTTCCGCGCTTGCAGCGGTTACATATTGGTTTCGTCTCGTCGCCTGGTATATGAGTCAGTCATCGCCGTAAATTATTGAAAATATGCATGATGTGTTAGAAAGGACCTACATTTCAAGTGCCGAGACCGACAGGTGACGCTGATATGGACATGTCAACACTCCGTCGGACATGGATGGTATTAACCTTACCAGCCAGTTCGAGTCCTCATAGTCACGAGAGTGGTTATCAATATTGTTATGGAGCACAAGATATTCACTTAATTGAAATTACTGGCAAAGATAGACATTGTGGATAGTATTAAGACAAGAATCCTATGAAGCCAATCTGATGGAATACGTAACGGATCAACTTATCATCCGTAATCATTACCTAAGGCTGGGGTAGCCCCGGGGCCACCTGGGGGTGGCTTCTATATCAACGTCCTTGGGGTTTGCCGGTTAGGATTTCCTGAGACCTCTGGCTGTCCAATGCGAAGTAAAATTTGACCTGGAAACTATGAGGAACGAACACGCGACAGGAAAAGCCTTCACATATGGTGACAGTGGCATGAGGGCAGTTGTTCCACGGCCCATGGCGAGTCTCCAGCCAAATGGAGGGGCGAAGACAATTTAAAAGGAAGGGCCTAGAAGGTGTTTCTTCTTGGCGTGATTTTCACACCCAGATGCATCAAACCAATCGAGCCCACAGGAGACAGATCTGGCTAAGATGAGTTGATCCCACTTGACCTCCTGGAGGGTCGATACGACATACCCAATCGGGAAATTTAGCCGTGCCTTGCTCCGCTCCAGGACTCTCCGCAATAGTGGGCCCGAATGCAAGACTCATGCTCATTAGCTTTGTTAAACATCATATGGACATGGAAGTGACTGTCTGACTATTGGGGATAAATATCAACTGCTGAACGTGGTCGCGATGGCTGTTGGTCAATATCTTTTTATTCACCTTCGATATAGACAATTCCTCGACCTTGAATTGTCAAAACAACGATACAATGGCGCCTCATTTGGATGATAGCGAGCGGGGCTCGAAATGTGATGGGATACTGCGGAATCCAACATGGAAGCCAGAAACAGATGACGACTATGCCGTCCTCGCAATTCGAAACCTCGTCTTTGACATGACGATGCAAAATGACGGGGGCCACGGTGGCTCAGCGGTGGGAATGGCAGCTATTGGTGTAGCCTTGTGGAAATACGCTATGCGATACAATCCCAATGACTCGAACTGGTTCGACCGAGATCGGTTTGTCTTGTCTAATGGTGAGACTGATGAAGGCCATTAGCTATCCCTTCTATGCACGAGAAACTAATCACACTTGATCGCGCAGGACATGCCAGCATGTTCTTATACGCGATGAACTACCTTGTGGGATACGATGCCTGGACGATGGACGAGCTGAAGGGATATGGATCTGCGAAGCTGAATGGATTCACCACTTTGTCTCATGCCCACCCCGAGATTGAATGCCCCGCGGTAGAAGTCACGACCGGCCCATTGGGACAGGGGATAGCGACTGCTGTGGGGCTTGCGATTGCTTCTAAAAACTTGGCTGCCAATTTCAACAAGCCTGATATCGAGATTCTCCAATCCCAGATATACTGTATGACGGGAGATGGATGTCTTATGGAAGGAGTTGCCCTGGAAGGTTCGTTCATCAATCTTTGAGTGAGACTTTTTGAATTGTATTCGCTAATTTCTTTTGGAACTACTTAGCGATCTCACTAGCAGGAAGCCTACAACTAGATAACTTGGTCCTCCTCTATGACAACAACCAGGTGACGTGCGACGGACCCCTGGATTGGATCAACACGGAGGATACCAATGCGAAAATGCGTGCCTCTGGCTGGGAAGTGATTGATGTCTACGATGGAACATATGATGTCGAAGCCATTGTGGCTGCCTTACACTTGGCTCGTGTCTGCCGTGGAAAACCAGTGTTTATCAACATTCGCACTGTGATCGGGGCAGACACTGCATTTGCGGGGACTGCTAAGGCCCATCACGGTTCCTTCGATCGGGAAAGCATCGCCAGATCGAAGGTTCTCGCCGGAATTGATCCCGAATCCACTCATGTCGTTCCTCCTGACATGTTGGAATTTTTCCGTGAACGTAAAACGTACGGGAGCCGTCAGCAGCAGGAATGGAACGATCGCCTTACCAGGTACAAGTTAAAATACCCCCTGGATGGGGAGCGTTTGGCGGCCCGCATAGAAGGGTCATTTGGGAATTGGGTTGCCACATTGGATGGTTTGGACAGTGCCAAGTTTCAAGGCCTGGCAACCAGAGAGTCGAATGGAGAGATCTTGGAACTGTTGTGGCAGGCAAATCCTGCTCTATGCGGTGGCGGTGCGGATCTCGTGAATTCAAACAAATTCAAATACTCAGCAGCGGATGTCTTCCATCCTGCAACAGTGAGTTACGCCGGGATGGTCGCAATATTGGGTCAACTGACAGATCGATAGAGCTTTACTGGTAGATATATTCGACATGGCATTCGAGAACACGCGATGGCCGCCGTTGCAAATGGTTTAGCTGCGTTTCACCCTGGCACCTTCCTTCCTGTCACTTCAACGTTCTCCATGTTCTATCTCTACGTACGTGGTTCTCTACAGCTCTACAGTCTCATTCACATTTCCCCATTAACATATTTTCAACTACACAGGCTGCCCCCGCCGTGCGAATGGGCGCATTAAGTAACTTGCAAGTGATCCATATTGGAACACATGACTCTTTCCAAGAAGGGCAAAATGGACCAACCCACCAGCCAGTGGAACTCGATTCACTGTTCAGAGCGATGCCAAATCTGACATACATCCGACCCTGTGATGCGTAAGTGACAACTGATTTTGGGATACAATGATACTTGCCACTACGGAAACGCTGACCACTGATATCTACAGGGAGGAGCTCATCGGCGCTTATCAATATGCCCTTGAGGAGAGACATTCGCCGTCGTTCATTTCGATTGCCCGCGATGCTGTCGGTCCTGTGCCATCTACTAGCCGTGAACATACAGCAAAAGGTGCATACGTGATCTGCGAACGGCTCGGGGCTAATGTGACCCTCGTCAGTTGCGGCTCCGAACTTCACTACGTGGTTGCCGCTGCCGAGATTCTCAAACAGCGAGGTATCACTTCTCGGATAGTCTCAGCGCCCTCTTTGGACATATTCAGTAAGCAATCAAAGGAGTACCAAGACTCCGTCTTCCTCATCAACCGCTCTCCTATTGTGAGTGCAGAGGAATATGTTCCTCTTGCTTGGTCCCGATATGCCACCGCCAGCATTGGAATGAAAAGCTTTGGATACTCTGCGTCGAGAGAAAGCAACTATGACCGATTTGGTCTTGATGCGATATCTATTGCTGACAAGGTGGCACTTTACTTGAAGAAACTGGATGGCAGGGATGCTAGGCAACAGGCGTGGGCACTCTTGTAATCTTTGGTCAAGTCTAGTTGAGATATAGATAGATTAAGATGAAAGATGTACTTACTACAACAATAAATTGTGATTTTCTTTATCCTACTCTACATCCATACTAATTCGATCTTGAAACTTTTAGTTCATCATCGAATTTGGCGACTCTCTCAATGCTGGGCTTAATTTCAGATTTCAGCCGCAATTCGGCAAACTGGCTAAGTCATGAGCACTGCACAAGGCAGGACATGATTCTATTCCCAGTAAGCCTACGTAGAAACTTAACCTTAATTGGAATAAAAGGAGTGGGCGCTTTATGGAAGCAGCAACCACCGAGAGTAAGTGAATCCATGCCTTCAGACTTGCCAGAGCTTCTTGGTACTCTACCACGGCGAGGGTATAAATCTAGTGTCTGAGACGAAAGGAGGCCATTTCAAACGTATTTTGTTTTATTTTTGACAGTTCAACTCTAATTTTGTATATTAAACTTCAACATTTGCATGAGAACAATTGCACAGATCTATATCACAACACTGATACCCTCCTTTGCCAAAAAAAAAGAAGTCAATGGCTCAAGGGATAATCTTGGCCTGTCTGTATCTGTCAAATGCTTTGTGATAGCTGTCGACAGTATCAATGATTTCATGGAATCCAAGACTCCGAGCAGCGCTCAGATCATACTGGCGATCAAAGTCCGACTCCGCCACCAGCGCTTCCAGGAAATCCCAGCTCGTGCCCTCAAATGTACCCTCCCTCAACTGGAATTCCTCAGCCCATCGCTGACAATGGGCACAGTGATCCTTGATCCAACGAGATACGCTGAAAGTGTGACCAGGCTTAGGCGATACTCCTTCAAGCCCAAAATACTCGCAAATGCCACTCCACTTGGACTCCCACGATGTGCATTCATCCGAGCAACCGATGTTGTATGCGTGACCATTCGTCTTTTCGGCATTCAAACCGACAAATATTGTGAAGCGAGTCAGAATATCCTGGCTTGTATCCGTGTGTTTGGCTTTGAAACTCGCCAAGTCACCCGGGAATGGCACCTTCGCTCCATCTCCATGAACGTAACGGTAGAGCGAAAGGAACACCGCGAGAGCCTGCGCAATTCCCATGGCATTGTTCTGGGGCACGAAGCCAACGATAGCGTCGGGTCGGATGTCAGCCCATTTCCAGGACTTTCCCTTGCTTCGCTCGGTCATCAGGTCGATTTGTGCATAGTAGAAGATTTCGTTGGCGAGCGGCTGCGGAATCCGAGGAAAGCTCTCTTTGAAAGGCGGGTTGAGACTAACGTCCTTTGGGAATTGGACTCCGTAGTACTTTCCTCCGGTTTGAAGCGTGACGAACTGGAGGTTGGGGCAGCAGGCATCGACTGCTTCGATCAGGTTCGAAAGCAGCCTGGTGTTGAGACGCTTGATGTCTTGCAGGTTCTCACAGTCTTTGACGGAATAAGCGGCGAAATAGACGTGAGTAATCTATCATAGCTCATATTAGCGATGGTATACCTGGCGCAAGATTTTACATGCACTCACCAGCTCAATTTGAGGGATTGCCTTGAGAAATGCGACCACAGCCTCCGTGTGTGGGGGTGTTCAGGTTGAGACCCGAGACCAGGCGTAGACGGACTTCGTCTGGAAGCAGCGCCTGTGCCTTATTCATGGGCCGGCTGGTGAGACCAGTGATACTCGTCCAGTAGTCCGCAGTCGGATAGGACAGCAGATTTTGGAGAAGACCATACCCGGTAATTCCAGATGCGCCGACAACAAGCGCATGTTTCTGAATGCTAGTCATCCTCACGGTGATTCCTTTGGAGACTTGAATTGTTCCAAATCAAATTATTGTAAAGTGGCACCTCAATAACAGGTTGTGGTCTTTGTATCAACTCTCCGGCTCGGGTTGAAATTTAAGGAGAGACTTGCAGATTTTCACCCCAGAAACCATGCCCGTGGGGTCGCACAACTAGCTTCCCTTCCCCCATGAAGCTTGTAATCAACCTGCTTGGCCAAGATTGCTTGGTAAGATCTTGGTTACAAATCGAATGTTAGTCCTGGATAACCCTAAGTCTGCCCACATCGGTCCCATTTCCTATTTAGGAAGGTCGCGACGCGTACCGCATGAAGAAAAGATGAGGATCCCAGGACAGCGAAGACCAGGCAGGCTGAGCCTTGAGTATGTCATAGATGTAACCCACGATGTACCCCGCGATGTCTGGGAGGAAGCGAATACCGTCGTTGGATTGGGAAGGCCGCCTGTGCTGTCATAGCCGAATGGTCCCTCGGCAATCGTCGAAAATTTCGCTAAGATTGATGTCGCTTTCTATTAATTCGAGTCATCAGCCCTCAATATACTGACTGTTCAACCTGACTACTATTCTAGGGTAAATTTGCGCGACCAGCATAACAATGTCACCTTCATTACAATTTCAAAACGGCTTGCCTTGTTTGGCAGATCATACCAATGGCACGGATGCTACTTCACCCCGCCTGCGAGGCAAGGTCATTGTTGTCACAGGTTAGAGCCCACTGTGCGCTCTTCATCTATCTTGGTTGCATAAAGAACTAACAGAACGTTCCAGGAGGTGCGGCTGGTATTGGGCAGGACTTGGCCCAAAGCATTGCGGAGGCTGGGGGCGACGTTGCTATTTTGGATATAGCAGAAGGATCATCCTGCAACCTGGTGAAACTCGCGAATTCTTTCGGGATTAGAGCGAAGTATTATCGGTATGTTCATGTTCTGCGCGAGAACAGTCCTTGCTGTAGTGGCCAAACTGACAAATAAATCAGGACCGATGTTAGCGACAAGGACAAACTTGAGCAGACATTCAATGAGATTGTCCATGACTTTGGTCACATTGATGGCTGGTCAGTAGCTTTCAGTTCCTATACGCGAGGCTTCAACTAACAGACTGCCTATAAAGTGTGACAGCTGCTGGAGTCATGGTCATGACAGATTTCCTCGACTACAAGTGGGAGGATGCAGTGAGAACACAAATGATTAACGTCAGTTTTCTCTGCAGTATTCATACCCTGTATATCGAGTGCTGATGTTGAATATAGGTAGTGGGAACTTTCATGACGGCCCAGCTCGCAGCCAAACAAATGAGACTGCAAGGAAGTGGAGGCAGCATTGTGATGATTGCCTCAGTAGCAGCTCACCTGAGCTCACCTGCACTGCCGATCTCTGCATACACTGCATCGAAAGGTGCTGTCAAAGCATTGTCGCATGCTCTCACAGTGGAACTTGGACCGATGGGGATCCGAGTCAATACTATTTCTCCCGGGTAAGTTGCTCATTCGATCAGATTCGTTGTAGCAAGATACCAATCAATCTTCCCATCGCATAGGTATATCAGAACAAGCATGACCGGAAAGGTCACAGTTGAGAACCCAGAGCTTGCCTCACGCTTCAGCTATGAGCCTCCCCTCGGTCGGATGGGAGAGACTCGTGATCTCACAGGGGCTGTTAACTTCCTCCTGTCCGAGTCGTCAGCTTACATCTCTGGTAGCGACATTCTGATCACAGGCGGATTACATGCTGGCCGATATGCGAAAGATCGAGAGCCTCCTGTGTCTCAATGAGAAATTGCCATATCCTGTACAGTTATCCCACATACTCGAAGAATCAATACTCAGATATGGCGGTATAGTCCTTGAACTTGCAAAAACCTGAACTCTCTCATGTGTTGATTTGTAAAACAAACTTCACATCCAAAAGTTATTAACAGTTTTAGTGTTAGACAATCCATTTCTTTATTAGTCGTCCTCTACACTCCCCAGTTACGTTATAGCGCAGTATTTGAGCAATTTGAATCTACAGAAGATAAAGCTATGAATTAAGCTGGGCAAGTAAGTTATCAATGCCCAGAACCATATATCGTGGCGTGAATACATAATTCCACCCATCGTCCCATAAAAAAAAGGCTGGAATTTCAATGTGATAACTCAATTCTGGTAAAATGTCTGTAATTAATTGCGCCATGATGGAGATGGCTATTTTGCCACCCTATCAGCATTATCGTTCTACTATCGACTCCTGGGAATACTTTGCCTTCTCGGTCCCGCCATTTCCTAACCAGGGTCTGAAGGACTACCGGAGCCAGGAGTTTTCGTTCAGTCTACTTAGAGATCCCCAACATGTCCTAGCAAGAGGCTAGTAGAGATGATCGTCAAAATGTGGAGAAAGAGAACCGCTTCTCTGCTAATAAGCGCATGCACCTAGAGTTCTATAAGCAATCGGATTTTCTTCATGGGGCTCTAGATAGAAGAGCCGAAATACCATATTTTGCCATGAAGATGTAATTCAAAGGGCTATGATAGGCCGGCAATATTTGAAATAACCAAGGTTTGAGGTTTGGGAGAATCAATTCATTCGATATAACTAGCTTTCATCCTCCCAATCTTCCATTTCGAAGGACGTCATATGCTTTAGAGGACGTGAGAGCTTCAGCCAAAGTTCGTTCTCCGGATCATCATCTTCAATATACAAGTAGCCAGTATCCGCGCTATCGTTGTAGATTCCGCTGGATTCGTCTTCAATCTTCTGCGCAGTTTCAGATGACAGCCACATGTATCTCTCCACAACTCCCGGGTCAGCCGGCTGACCGCCATATATACCAGGAGAGCCCCATTCGTCTCTGGGATGCTGTCCCCAAGGAACAACCATATCAGAAAATTGGATAGAAGAATGAGCAAAAGAATCTCTGGGCTCCAAATCAAGCTGTAAACTTGCTTCTATAGTGGTATCGTAAGGGCTAAACTCTGAGATTTCTCTGCTTCTAATAGAACGCTCTCTGGCAAATTCCTCTAGATATTTGAGGTAGAACGGGTTTCTGCTCTGTTTAGCAGCCTCGAAGAAGGACTCGCGTGGAGGGGGCTTCAACGACCTGAAAAGCGATTTGTAGTCACAAAGTATGGTGGTGATCGCAATTTGGTGTCTCATAGACGGACACTTGCTAGCCAGCTCACGTAAAGTATTCTCATGAGGCCTTACCGGCCATCAGATAAGCCAAGGGAGGCAGTCAGAGTCATCGTCAAGGTCAGAGATATCATTATTCATGATTTTGCGAGCATTTATCGCAGTGCGAATCTCACGACACTCGCGCTCATTGCCTTCGCTAAGCAATTTACCTGGGAGAATGATTCGCCTAGAGTTAGTTCCTAGCTGATAGGCCCACCATCGGGCAAAACTTGTATGGTGATAAATCCCACGAAGAATACAATTGTATTCAGTTTCCGTTCTGAGCCTCCGTGGGTGCATCAACCGTGCGTATCTATCCACGTTACCCTCCCATGCAGCCATTCGCGTTGGAAGGAATTTGTCAAGAACTGGAAGATCAGGCGGAAGAGGCATCCACAAATGCTCCGAGTCTCCTGGGCCGAGTTTCGCACCTGGGCCGAGTATCGCATCGCGATCTACTTTGCTGATTTTTTCTTTCAACCCAATATATCCATCTTCCTCAATGTCAATATCATCCGCAGTTGTATCTGGCAAGTTCTTAGGAGGAGGAACACGCCGGCCTAAAGCCCGTCGGGGCTTCATATTACCGTTTAGAAACGCGGGTGTCTGTGGGTTTTTAAGATTAACCGTTCGAGTGAAATCATCCCTAACAGCCCATCTTTGAGGGGCCGACATAATGATTTTGTAGATGTCGGCGTCTTCGGCAGCATTGCGGGCTTCTTCAGCAATAGATACGCCTGGCAGAAGATCCAATTCTTTGTAAAGATCTGTATACCAAGCAGCAGCACATGCGCGGCCGACTTGATAGCGCATCGATGGATACCGACGGGCAAGCTCGCGGTAGGTTTCTTCCGATGCAGGTTCTGGATACCAAATGCAGTATGGTTCAGTGGCAGGATCTTGCATTTCGGGGATGATATTACTCATTATCAGGCGAGCATTGCGGGCGCGAGAAAACTGATGAGCCTGGCTATCGTCGCCGGAGCATAGCTCAATGATTGCTGCTGATAGTTGTCCGAAGGGGGATGAAAGAAAGAAGGGGAAAAGCATATTCTTGAAAAAGCGGAACGTGCTTGTCCCGCAGGGATTTATGGGCTAGGCCGACAGTAAAATTGGTACTTGAAGCGCTTTATGAGACTTTATCTCCCTCAGATTTCTGGTATTTAATTCTTCGTCTTATTTGTCACGTAAATCAGGTTGGTTTCCGGCCCCCAGTGCCGCATACCCTACGCTATACCGTAAACTTACAAACCGGTACCTGAGGTGGGCTGTACAGTATGTGATTTGCCGACCTATACTGTGTTCAGCTTCGTATTAAATTGTGACTGGTCTGAGCCCGGACTGAAATCGGCTCAGTGAGCCTGACTCTGGGCGCCCTCATAAAAGCGGCGGCAGCTAAGAGCCTAAGATAGCACCCGGCAGAGGAAATCAAGTACGTATAGCTACCTATGTACCAGATTTCCTATGCCATGACTTGGCATTCCTTTTACTTTTTAGTGAGCAACCTCTCGCCGCTTTTAATCACTGATCCACTCACTGAGCCCTCTGACTTGCTCACTGAGTACACCCCAAGCATAAGGGCACCTCAATAAAACGCAGTACCCTAGCCCCATCCACGTGGAACTCTTTTTGTCTGGATTAGCCCCATTGTCCCATCTAAAGGAAGTGGCATCAACAACCTGATGTTTTATTTTAGCAGTCATTGTGCCTCGGTGAAGCTTGATGGTTGATCAACCTATTAGATCATCTGTATGCTCCTAGGAACCATTGCGTACTGATCTCCACGTCCCATAGAGGAGCTAGTCTAAGAGATATCATATGAACATACCGGAAGACCGTAAGTCTTCCTTGGGTATCTTCTTTCTATATTAAGTATACGTACCGGAACGCATTTAGTTAAACCCTAATCTCTACGGTTTACAATTTCTTAGAAGAGATTGCTCCTAGGAACTTACCGGATGATTAATTGGTTGGTTTATAGACTGTTCTAGGAGGGGAAGCCGCTGGATGAATCGAATTGGACGCCGAACTTAGAAGCCGTGCGAGCCTCGATACGATTCGCGATCGCTACGGGCCGACTCGACGCTACCTAGCCACGTTGGCTAACACAATGACACCTTCCCCTATACCAACCTACACCTACCACCTTGTGCCAAAAATGATGGACGCGCTTCAACTGCCGAAGATAGGATATTGAACACTTGAAGAAGCGCCTTCAAGTCAGTCTACTAACAAAATCACTAACCCATAAGGATCCATCCCTATGATATTGACCGCTGAGAGGACATAGACTAAAAGTAACCATGCATGGGCTCGAAGGAGATACGGCAGATGTACATTGTGTGTATGTGTGTGTGTGTGTGTGTGTGTGTGTGTGTGTGTGTGTGTGTAAATTGGCGGGATCTGCAGTGGAATGAATACAATGGGTTCTCGTACATTAAATTCTTTGTTTGGGATCTCATACCTCTATCCTGAGTTGTTTTCGTAGGGCAGACCAGCTTCTCTTCGAATTGCCCCATACATAGCTGTTATGTCACCTTCCCCCAAGGTGTACTCTTCAACTTCTTTCAAGTAATGCTCAGCGAGTTCAACGCTCTTCATGCTCACTCCGACACGCTGAGCAATATCTAATACATGGCGAGCATCCTTACGCGCCAGACTGGCCGCGAACGGAGGATCCTTCTTCTGGTAATAGTCGCCCGATTTCATACGTAAAGCATAAGCTGGCAACACTCCAGGGAGCATAAGCTTGAGCCACTGTATCAGTGGATCGGTACCAACACCCGACTTCTCAGCCAAGACCATACCCTCTCCCAGCTTTTCGACAAAGCTCAGAACAAATGAATTTCCTAGCAATTTCATTTTAGATGCTTGGCCAACATCGTCGCCAATGAATTCAATATTAGCTCGCCCCATCACACCTGCCGTATACGGTTTCACTCTTTGGACATTCTCGTAGGTTCCGGCAATAACGCAAATCAATTGTCCCGACTCTGCAAAAGAAGGCGGTCCGAAAACAGGACATGCAACAAATGAAGCACCATGGGTACTGAATATATCCCTGACTTTGCGGGTAGTACTTGGATGAATAGTAGAACAATCAACAAAAATCTTGCCCTCAATCGCACCACTTTCCGCCGAAGCCAAAGCGATATTTTCAACGGCATTGTCATCGCTGAGACATGTAAAGATAAGATCCGCGGACTGAACGGCTTCGGCAAGAGTGTTTGCCACCTGACAGCCGTTGCCACCTAGGGAGTCCACGAATTCATGGGCTCGGGCAATGGTCCTGTTGTGGACCAGGAGGGGCGGGAGGAATGGCGACTTCTGGATGATGTTCTTACACATCCCCTAAAACTCATTCTCGTTAATACATTTGCTTCAATCACCTCTTCTGATTACCTACACGGCCCATATTCCCCAATCCTATCCAGGCGAGCTTTCTTGGCACCATGGCTTTTTTTTCTTTCGGGGACTTGACGGAATTGACACCTTTGCGACCTGGCAGTACACAACTTGGGGAAGAAGTGGGGAAGAAGTCACTAATAGGGGGGGGATGATCTTATAATCAATCAATGACTGTGTGAATGTAGGTCCTTGCAGTGGCAGTTCAATTGCGTCTGTATGTGACTCTTCTAGGAGCCGACGGGGTAGAGCCGATGGGGTAAAGCCGACGGGGTAGAACCGACGGGTGGTGGTGAGTCTGCCACCTGGACCAGCACGGAAAAATTGAGGAGTACCAGAGAGTATTTAATAGTTCGGACATATCGGCCTCACGAGTACCGCAAATGCACGAGTCTGAGAGTCTTGGGCCGCGTCCTTACTGGTTGGCTTGGAAAGATGTTAATTTCAAGAACTTAAGCCATTGATTGTTGTGCCGCTTCACCCATATATATGCCCATGTTAACCTTCAATATCCATTTACTTGTGATTTTAATCGTTTAATATACATTCTTAGTTGTCCCTCGTGCGATAACTTGCATAGGGATCAACCCTTGCAGTTTTGGCTATCATGATGCGAACACCTGGTAAAAGGAAAGAGATTGGAGGGACGAGTACCTCAAAAAACAAGGGCACGGTGAAAAATGAGGCCCATCAAAAAGTAGGTTGGAAGATAAACAGAACTATGGGGCAAAACGCTCTTCTGGGTATGGACTGAGCATCGACTGGGTGCTCAATAGATGCCTCTGATAAATATCTGAGTAATCAGTGATGACACTGAGCAGCTCAGTGAGTCTGACTCTGAGCGCCCTCATAAAAGCGGCGGCAGCTAAAATAGGAAATCCCCACACAGCATAGGAAAAAATGTTACGTATAGTGTCCTAGGTATGTTGTAGTAAACACGCACTGTATGGACTACTTAGAAAATCCAATAGTTTACCCAAACAGGTGCCATTCAGATTCAGTGATCAGTCAAGATTAGACTACCATGTAGGGAGGAAGATGCCGACAAACTTCGCATATAAGCTCAGAATGCCTATCCATGGATGGTAGTTCATAATGACCACCCATACCGAAATGTATCATCATACCAAGGTAAATGTGGGTTATTGCATGATGATCAGCTCTACATCTTTCAAATATGAATGACTGTGATACCTGCCAGCAATACCTTCCTTGAAACGCATCCACCACATCCCACGGGTTTTCACAAGTATGTCGTTGTCCAATCCTGCTCCATCGGAGCCCACGACAATCGCGGCAATCGAAGCGGCATGCAGAGTTTTTGGATACCTCCATGCAAACCCTCCGCAGCCCCTCAAGATCTGGCCCGATGAGTTGGAACTGATTTATTTCATCATCATGAATTACTCGAAACCAGGACAAACCATCACTACTAGTAGCAGCTCTGGCGTGTCTATTTCCATCCCTCAAAACCTTTCGCCGACCCAATTCCCTTTCCCGAAGACATGGTTGACCCATAAAGGACGAGCGCAAAGGGCAGCGAAGGTCTTTCTCATAGACGCCAAGCGGATCTTCCTCATGACAGATGCTTTTCAGGATTGGAAGAGGCAGCTATTCACAACATCAATACTCGATCTGCCTAACGAGTTGTTGCAGCTCATTGCAGCTCAGCTACCGACAAAGTCTCTCGCTAGACTCTCTCAATTGAATCGCCGTCTCTTCAACGTGATAGGCTTTGAGCTCTGGGGACTGGATAGGACGCTCGGGGCACTGACATGGAGCTTGGTCCATTGTCAGTTGACAGCCTACAAAAAAGCAGTCGAAGAACTCTCGAAGATCCCTGAAAGTATGGATAATGAGTCCACGTGGAAATTGTTTCCTGTGATAGGCCCCCACAATATCCATATGTTGGAGGGTATGGCTTTGAAAGATGGTTTCATTGGGCAATTGTATCGTCAATTCCTCATGGACACGCTGTCGCATAATCTAGTATTGACGAAGCCCAAACATCTATCTGTTGAGGAGGTCCTCAAACTAGGGGCTGATCCGAATGGCCTCAGTGATGACCCCCACCTTTGCGAATTGGAACTTGGGCATATTCCAATAATGTTCATTGCCATCTGTGGTTCCCGTGATCACTGTGCTGACTTTCTAGAGCACGAGGAATGTCCGCACGAATTTTACGATTTTTCAAAGCCAACAGGAAACGTCAACAATGTTCGCCTTTTTCTCAAATACGGGGCTGATCCAAATTCCCACATGTCCGACAAAACATCGGCACTTCATATGGCAGTCTCCTTGTGCAAGTTCATGGGAAAGTCAGAGATGGTGAAAGAATTGATCAAATATGGCGCCAATGCAAACGCAATTGGCCCCCAGGGGAAAACTCCTCTTCACTTGGCAGTTAGTCCAAATAATTGTTTTGACTTCCACGATCCCTGCAAAGACACAATCAATGCCCTTCTTCAAGCCCCGGGTATTGACCTTGACCCGCGTGATGAGAATGGCCGTACGCCCTTGAGCATTGCTGCCGGCCTTGACAGTGCCGTCTCTGTTTGGTTTGTGGAAAGAGTGTTCAAAAAGCACAATGTTGATATCAATTCCCAAGATATTCATGGGAAGACGGTATTATACCATTCAGTGGAGAGCGGAAACATAAAAGCTACCAAGCTGCTGCTGTCACGGCGTGGCATTGACCCAAATCTCAATACTAAATACTTGCCCTTGTTTTTCGCCGTTTCGAATGGAATGACAACGATGGTGGAGAGTTTGCTAAGCAAAAAGGCAACCAACCCGAACTGGAAAAACAACAATGGGCGTCTCGCTCTGACGTTGCAAACTTCAAAAAATATAATCAAGCTGCTTATCGAAGCTGGTGCTGAGCTGGACATTCGAGATAGCACGGGTCTGACTGCACGAGAAACGATCTCCCAGGCGGGCATCAATATTGAGCAGCTAATGCGCCCAAGCAGAAAAAGAAAAAGGTAGATTGGCAATATTAGCCAAATTCGTACCCCTTGTCATTGCTATATTGATCTAGGACCGGGGTTCTAGGTGCTAGATGGTTGCTGGAATCGTTTATGTTTAATTTCTCAATTTTATCTTTCGAAGTTCAAAGTTATACACAAGAAGCTCCATTTCACAATTTAAGCCTTTCTTTTTCGTCCTCTTCTGCTGTCTACCTATAATCCTTGAGAAGGGGGGCAACCTATACAGAAAGAGGACATCTAAAAAGACCACCAAAAAGCATATGACAAGGTCATATAAGAGACCGTCTATGTTTGTTCAGTATCATCAGAGAAACAAGCATACGAATTACCAATTAATCATAGATCTTTCTCTGGTGTTCTCTTTATTACAGGCTCATTACGACCACTATCTCTTTATAGAGTTCAGGCAAAATCGTATTTAGTCCTTCCCTACGCCGACAGTCTTGACAACCCCCAGAAGTAGTATCTAGCAACATGAAAACATCAAATATCGCGATTCTTCCGAAACCCCCCAAAAAAGCTATTCGTTTGGCCCAGCTTCTCGAAGCCTTCTTTCAAACTGAGAAATCGTGGACTGGTCTTTTGATTACATTTATTGCGCAGAACTATGACACGGGGTCTACTCCCACAAAATCAGCCACTCGGTTGGACAATAACCTTACCTATTATCCTATTATATGGACATACAAGAAGCACCGAGTGGAAAAAGCGATTCAAAAACGGTTGATTTAGCCTCACCGCTACTGGAGCGAAGTTGGAGATCACAACTTGGGGCGAAATCAATCCTTGACCTACCCGTCGAGCTGATCTGGCTTATTGAGCGCAATAGTATATCTAAGTTAAAGGTTGCAGCTTTACGGCACAGTCTCTAGATGATGTTATATATGACAATAGGGATCTGATAGCCACTTGCTTGTCCTCTTGATTCGCTTTGTCGACGGAGACCTGGATGTGGACATTGAAACTGCCGTACATCAATGCATTCACTTCACTAAGCTGGCTGATCTCTGTTCAATATAAGCCAAAGTAATATGGCATAGGAGCAACCTTGGAAGTGCTGAAGATGGTCTCATCTATCCGCTATTAAGGATAGTCCAGCTCGAAAAGCTTGTCTTCCACTTGGAACTTAATTTTGATGTTGGGGTCTTCAGTCAGAAATTGTGGTATGTAGGGAATTCATACTCAAAAAGATATTGATTTAAACACAGACAATGAGACAACAGGGAGCAAATCCTCTGGTAACATGCTTGATGTATACCGTATGATCACTAAGTGCTGCTACCGTGGGGCGAGGGGCCCTATAGGCTGCTGAGTCAGCAGACACAGGCCACCTGGGCAGAAAAATACCAATCCAAAGGTGTGAGTGCTTTGACTGTGAATAATAAATAAAGCAGTTAATTCTCACCAGATCCCTATATAAAAGGGATCGTCGTCAAGGTGAATTCTCTCAGGTCGACCCTATTGCGGGCCCGACTGACAGCCCCGCGGGTCCAATCGTTGACACAGATCCGTGCCCCTCCTCGATTTTCTCTTCTTCCACTCCCAACCCCTCCACGAACATACACCATGGCGACGGCAGCAGCTCCCGAGACCTCTCTCCTCTCTCTTCTCTATCGGTCGTATCCCACCGTAATCTCTTCCGATTCGACCGAGCCCGACTACCTCCACGCCTCAGCCAAGATCTTCCCTCGGGTCACCTTCAATGAGGCAGAGGAAGCCGACATCAAGCAATGGCTCAACACCGTCTCCGGCCTGAAGACCTCTCTCGCCAATGACCAAAAGGATGTCACCGCTGGAATCCTCGACCAGCTGAACATCCACCTCGCCACCCGCACCACCCTCCTCGGCGCGAAGCCCTCGGTCGCCGACATTGCCATCTACGCTGTCCTGGCCCCCATCGTTGAGAAATGGACCCCTGAAGAGCGCACTGGAGAAAAGGGCTACCACCACATCGTGCGTCATGTCGACTTCGTGCAGAACGGCCGCCTCTTCTCGCTCCAGATCCCCGAGGAGGAGAAGATCGCCATCGACCTGAACGACGTCAAGTTCGTGCCCAAGCCCGTCGACCCTAAGGAGGAGAAAGAGCGCAAGAAGCGCGAGAAAGCCAGCGCCCAAAACCCCGACGCCAACAACGAGTCCAAGCCCCTCGTTGTCGGCCAAGGCAAGGCCGAGCAAGCCGCCAAGGCCCAGACACAGGCCGGCGCCGACGGTGCCCCCGTGAAGACCAACAAGAAGGAAAAGAAGGAGAAGAAAGAGAAGGCTCCCAAGCCCGCTCCCGCCCCCGCGGCGCCCCCTGCCCCATCACTGATTGACCTGCGTGTCGGACACATCCTGCGTGCGATCAACCACCCCAACGCGGACTCGCTGTACGTGTCCACGATCGACTGCGGTGACGCCCCAGGCAGCGACAACACCTCTCTCGATGAGGATACCGGCAAGACCGTGCGAATTGTGTGCTCTGGACTGAACGGACTGATCCCGTTGGAGGAGATGCAGGGCCGCAAGATCGTTGCCGTGTGCAACCTGAAGCCTGTGACCATGCGCGGCGTCAAGTCTTGCGCGATGGTTCTCGCTGCATCCCCGCGTGTTGCCGAAGGCGAGGACTCGCACGCCGGTCCTGTCGAGCTCGTTAACCCTCCTGCTGATGCTCCTGCCGGTGAGCGTATCAGCTTCGAGGGCTGGAATGATGGCCAGCCTGAGAAGCAGCTTAACCCCAAGAAGAAGGTCTGGGAGACTTTCCAGCCGGGTTTCACTACCACTGCGGATCGTGAGGTTGCCTTTGATAGCAGTGCTGTTCCCTCTGTCCACGGACAGGAGGGCAAGCCTGCTCTTGGAAAGCTGGTTGCTGCCTCTGGTGGTGTTTGTACTGTTAAGAGCTTGACTAATGCTACTGTGCGGTAAGGGATGTGAAGGTGTTCGGTATATCTGAAAATAAAACTAAACGCATACCCATGAGAATATGAAGAAATCAAAATTTCCCAAGTTCGTATTATTATTGCATCTTAATGGAATGTATTCCTCTCTGCATCGCTGCCAACACACGAAGTGGGAATATGACTTTGATTTATCTAATCTGTACATCGTCACACAACTTGAGGAGCTGATAGATCTTAGCTTCCTTTGCTTAAGCAGGCGCCGCGAATCCCAGAGAAGGGCCTCGTTGATCAAAGACCACAAACAGTGCCTTCAAAAACACATCGCCATAGATCGCCATGCTTGAGCTTCCACTTGACTGAAGGCCGCCATAACATACTATTAAAAAAAGGTTAGGTCAGAACTCACACTACATAGAAGATTGAACGAAAGACTCACCTGTTTCGCCAGTAGTTGTGTTGGTTCCAACCTCGGACCAATTCATAAACGATCCAGGGATGGTGACCGAATAACTAGGCCCAACCGCAACAGATAGGGTAGGCAAGCTCGAATTACAGGGGAAGATATAGCCGTTGGCATTCTTGGCGTATAACCCACCATGGACTTGCTTATAATAAGCTTCCGCAACCTCGGGGCTCACCATCATGAGCGAGGTGCCAGTGTCGGCAATGGCCTGGGGTGCCTGGGTGATCGGGTGGAAGGAGCCTTCTCCAATGGCGTATTGTGCCGAGTCAAACTCCCAGAATCCATTGGATGAATCCACGCTGACATTGGCCAGGACGCCTTGGTACTTTTTCGGATCGACAGTTCCGAATTCATATTCGCCGACACCGTTGCTGAGCAGTCGAACGGTGAAGACCGGCTCATCGAGGCTGGGAGCGACGTTGTCGAAGAACGTATTCTGTCGCTCTGGCGTGACAGTGTTGATTGAAGAAAAGCCAAGACCGACGAGTCCGTTAGACTTGGTGTCATCGGCGAATGTTTGCGAAATATCCGTCGGAAGGCCAAATGATTGCCCAGCAACTTTGACACCGCCAATCGAGACATCATCCTTACCTACGCCGCCATTGGCATAGGACGAGTCGCCGTACTGGATCTTAAATGTGCTGTTGGGGAGTTCTTCAAAAGTGCTGGATTTGCTCGGTTCGTACACAATTCGGCTGTTTCGTAGTGACTTTGGAAGTTTCGAGCTCAACACCCACCTATATGGCAATTATTAGTTCGGAACATTCTGCTCGAGAGGTGGACCATAGAAAGACATTGCTAACTAGCCAATCTTCCAAAAAGAGAAAAACAAAAAAGCAAAAAGATCACTTACATATCAGCAGAGCCACTATCAAAATTCATATCGAGGGTTTGTCCACCAATATTGACGGGCGAGACAAATTCCACGTCTCCATCAACCGAAGTGGCATCCACGGTGCCCGTCTGGTCAGAATCCACCACATCTTCCTTTGCAATTCTCACAGAGGTGGTAGACTTGGTTTCGAAAGGCTGGAAGTCGATCGCGTCCACCCCATCGAGGGTTGTTGCATCAATTCCGAACTTGCGATATGCCTTTCGCAGTGCCGCAGGTCCGTGGGCAACAACATGGCCATTGCGCTTGACTCTCTCTACCTTGAAGGACCGGCCTTGAAGGTGATTCTGAGGAGCGACGGGCATGGAAAGAGCATTAAAGCTCAACGAAAAGAAGATAGCAAGAAAATGAATGAATTGCATCTTGCCCAAAGCCCCAATTGGGGGATATCAAAATCGAAAAAAGAGAGATTATTAGATCAGGGCCAGCCTGAGAATTTGATATCAACGAACGCAACGGACAACAAACGCAAGAATGAAAGACAAGACAAGACAAGACGAGACGAGGGAAAAAAAAGAAAAGAAGGTAAATTTTCAGCAGCTCCCCAGATCTGTAGGGGCAGGCTTGTTTTGAATGGATAGGAAGACAATGTCAATGTCTCAAAATGAAAGTTAGCAGGCAATAGTCCGGACTAGAATACCTGTATCCAAGAATGGAAAAGAAAGAGAAAAAAAAGAATGCAATGTAGACAATGAAGACAATGTAGACAATGCAAAAAAAAGAAGAGAAGAAAACAATGAGACTAGAAACAAGAACAAGAAGACGAA